TGCCCCAAAGGAGTCCTCACCACTGTGTGGGTCAAGATTTATCCAATCTATCTCTTTATGATTAAAGTCTCCCATAATCAAAATCCTACATTTTTTCTCCCGCGCCATGTTAACAACTGAGTTTATGACTTCAATCGTACCTATATGACTTTCCTCATAAATTTCAAGCCTATTTTGGTTCCTTGGTGGGTTGTATACAACAGTTATTATAATGCTCTCTGACCCAGTATTTATGCGAGCAACAAGAAATTCCCTGAACTCACTTTCTATAGCCAAGTTTATCTCTTCAACTTGAATCCTCTCACTTATGAGCAGTGCTATCCCTCCACCAGTCCTCTCAGATCTTTCGACCCTTAGTATTCTGAAGCCCTTAGGAAAAACTGTGACACTGTTTATGTCCTCACTCAACTTAGTCTCTGTAATTGCTACTATATCTGCCTTACTGTTGTGAATCCTATCTTTTAATTCTACTGCCTTACCAGCTAATCCATCAGCATTTGTGTATAACAATCTTAATGAGGCCCCATCCCCTGATCTTCTGTCATTATCTTCTTTATCTCCCCTTTGTCTGGAAGTATTCCGTAACGAAAATTTTTCTTCTCTTCTTCATTTCTTTCATCATTTAACCTTCTTGCCTCTTGCAACAAGTTTTTGATCTTTCCCATCTCTTCCTGTGTTCTGTATCGTCTAATGAACACTTCTTTGCATTCTTGAAGGTCTTTTAGACTTTTTTTTCTCAACAATATTTCCCTACATGTCTCCCCTCTCTCAAAGGTTACTTTTGTTGGTCTCGGCTTTCCTTCCCTCGAATATTTACCTAGTTGGTGTATGTTTACAATATCCTCAGGACCACATACTACTCCAAGCTTTCTTATCAGGTCTACAACCCTAGCTTTATTTTCTTCAAGTCTCCCCTGCCATGTTGGCTCCTGGGATTCACTTATGCCTGAGATTACCACTGTCTTCTCCTTATCAAGTGCCTGTCTGATGAGTGGGTTTGCCCTTTCCATCACAACGTCTTTCATTTTTTCGATTACTGTCTCTTTATAGTCAACTGTTTGTATGTTTTCCAGTGCCACCACCTTTACAGCCTCTTTTACTGCCACATTCCCCTTTAGTGCATCAGCAAAGGACGTTTTCATGGCATCATTTTCCATATTCAGCTCCTGGAACTCTTTTCTGAACTGTTCAATGTTTTCCTTAATCTGAACATTCCAAGCAGCAATCTCGTCTCTCTCAGAAGATAGCAGTGAACTAACATCTAATTCCTTTAGGTTGTCATTTAGCTGTTTGTTTTTATCTTCTTGATTAGAAATTCTAGATTCTAGTTGACTCTTTTCCCCTTCCAGCTTCTTTATTCTTTTTTCTAGTTCCTTTCTCTCCTGCCCTTGTGCTTTATTTGCTTTCTCCAAAGATCTTATTTGTTCTCTGAGTGTTTCATTCTCTTTCATTTCTCCATCCATATTCCGAATTTTATCATCAAGGCTTGTAACCATTTCCTCTAACTTCTTGATTCTCTGTTTAAGTCCTCTGATGACTACCCCTTCTCCCGACCCATGGGTGGGAGAGGTTTGGGACAGAGATGGCTTCATTTTTATGTTCTCCCTCTCACAGAATATAGAAAGAAGACGAGAAAGAGGAAAAAAAAGGAAAAAAAAAAGAAAAGAGAAAAACTTCTAATTTACCTTCACACAGAATTTTTTATATCTCCATATAAGTGCTATTTAGTGACTCAGTTTGTCTCCTTTCTGGTAACACACATCTTAACTTAAAAACTTGACCATGGTAATTTACGTATAAAAAGAAAAAGAAAAACAAAAGTCAAACCTGAAGGAAAATTCGAATTTGTGTTCGAGGTGGCACCCACCTGTTTCTGTTATATATTCTTCCTAACTGATAAACTGACTTGCTAACCAAGATATGTTATCACGGGATTTAGACTTTACATTTAACTCAATATATATACAAAATAACAAAATAGCAAACGAGAAAGCTAAAAGAAAAGCAAAAAAAAAAAAAAATGAAGAAAATAGGACTGCTGTACTACTTGGCAACTTAACTCAGTACTGTTGACGGGTGGGTATTTGGTAATTTTTTTTCTTTTATTATTCAATTTTTTTCGTGTATCAAACTAACTAACTAGTTAATATAAATGGGAAGGATACTGTTTTTAACAATATATAGAACCACAGGATCAGGTAAAACGGCTCAAGAGCTTTCCCCAGTTTACACAAAAAATTAGGTAATGTGGTGTGAGGCTCCACGTCTGGCAACTCTTCTAGATTTCCCTCAAGGCAGAAACTGGACGGCAGCTTCTCTCTCTTCTCACGAAAAAGTTCTCAATTTTTTTCCTTTAATATGAACAGTCTCGCCTTACAACAAATATTAGTTTTTGTACTCACAATACTCTGCACGATTTCGTATTTTTGGAACTTATGGTAAAGTTTTCCACTAAGCACTTTAGTAACTCGAAACTTTAAAATTTAAGAGGAGCAATTCCGTGTGTCACTGAACGCGCGGTGTGTGTGTGTGTGTGTGTGTGTGTGTGTGTGTGTGTGTTATAGGCTTTATTGATGAATAAAAATAATATGAGTAGTAAGTAGTCCAAATGGTCCAGTGGATGCTTTGAGTAAGTGTAGAGAATATTTTCATATATATGAATATATTATCCTCTCTCTCTCTCTCTCTCTCTCTCTCTCTCTCTCTCTCTCTCTCTCTCTCTCTCTCTCTCTCTCTCTCTCTCTCTCTCTCTCTCACACACACACACACACAATAGCATCTTTCAGGTAACCAACTACACACGAGATAGAGAGTAAAGAGAAACAAAGGGAGTATTGTAACTCGTCAGAAGCAAAGGGATAGTAAGAGATGAGTGACGAACACACCAGATAAATACGATCCTTTTTATAAAAATTATGGGTCAAAACGCATAAAAGGAAAAAAGTAAATTATGACTTAATTATATGTCCCTAAGCGTGGCCCTAATTAATCTTTCCATGAGGCCATAAAACAAGTCTGGTGTCCATTTATCGTTGTGGTGGCCAGTAAAATTGGGCCATCAAAGCCTACCGAATGTTGTAGAGAATTCTATAAACGAATTCTCGCTTTGGTTTTTACTATTAAAAAGCAACTAGGTACATGCAAATATTAAAAAGTTTTACGTCACGGACTCCCTTTTCTATTAAGGGCTAGGACGATTGCCTTCTTGCGAAGGACTTGTTTTGGCAGATGTAATCGTTACCCTGAGTGCATGCCCTTGCTAACCTCAGACCGTGGCAGGGTGCGAACCCTCGACCTGACGCCTCAAAGTCGCGGACGCTACCGCCTGAGCCATGGTGACTACTGAGTACATGGAAATATTATTCCATTTAATGAGTAAATCTCATTAAATTAGCAACAGAAAGGTAATATATGATATTTTTAGAATAGAAATTGTATACTATTGCATTATCTCATGGGCACTGACATGATGATAGATCATTTTTTCAGGATAGGTCATAAGAGCCAGGGAAGACAGAAGCAGGAACAAGCCTTTTCATCTTCAAAGTAATGCCATATGTCGCAGAATTATTGAATGCAATACTTGTGTTTATATATACCTTTTCTGACTTATCCTGGCTGTGTGCTATGAATTGTCAAATATCTTATATCTAGTACATGACTTAACAGTTATCTTTAATCACTCGCCCTGGCACTGTGCCATAAAAATACTCTTACTATGGATATAGTACTTGTGTTGGCATTTATCATTTTTTTTAACTTGTCTTGGCACTACGCTAAAAATGGCACTCTATACAGTATTTCTGACTTAAGTACTTTTTATACTCGTTATGGCACTGTGCCATACATCGAACTGTAATAGAGCGGCAATTCAATTGCCATTTACATATTTTTTTACTATTTGCACAGTAATGTAACTTGTAATTTAATTATATGCAGTACTTAAATTGACATCAACCTATTTTACACTTATCATAAAACAGCAGTAAAATATTTTCCTTTTATCAAATAAAAAAATTACGTTCATATTTACATATCTATTCAATCAGCTTGGCACCGTGCCATAAAACACGCTCTTATTATATATATAGTGTTATTAATAACATGTATCTTACTCATATTTAGACTCATCTTGGCACTCTGCTATAAATGGCACTCAAACATACACAGTACTTCAGTTGGCATTTATCTTTTATTTACTCATTTTGGTATTTTGATATAAATCACATTCTTAACCACATACAATTTCTCAGCCAAAATCTATCACTGTCTTCACTTCTCTTGACATCCTTTGGACAAATGGCACTCAAATGATATACATTATTTGAGTTGGCATATATCCTCATTCACTCGTCTTTGCACTGTGCCATAAATTCCATTCTGATAATATACTGCTCTTCATTCATGTAGGAACAGTGCCATAAATTTCACTCTTTATTATATACAATCCTTGAGTTAACCTTTTCCCTTATATTTCACTTATCTTGGCACTCAACAATAAATCATACTCTTAATAAATAAAAAAAAAAAAATTAGTATTCAGTTTATTTTTTCACTCATCTTGGCACTGTGAAATGAATGGCACTAATTCATATTTAGGAATTTAGTTAACATATATTCGTATTATCACATAATTAGCACTCAGATGGCTATAATTTTATATCCAGGTCATTAGTTAACATATCTTACACTATCAATATCGCTTCTCTATTTCCAGTATATCGTCGTCTGATCGCATACAGGTCAAGGGTCAGTTGGCACTGATCTCTTTTTTTTTTTTTTTTTTTTTTTTACTTTTCGTACGATTGTGCAAATGGCATAGAAATAAATGATTCCCGAGAGAGATCTAAATATGGAAATGTGTGTGCGAGTTTTTTTTTTAATATGATTTATCACATGTGATAAATATAAGCGGATTCTTTGTAGACAATATAATATTCGTGTTATATACACGAAGAATATATTTTTAAGTGATTAACAGGCAACATATGAACGTGAAA